ATCACACAGCATTATTTCTATCATAAACAATAAAAAATAGCAAGAATTAAACTGTATATATATAAAAAAACTATGTATATTTATGGCATTTGCTCTTTGGTTTCAGGGCAAGACCACTGAGCTACTAGAGCACTGCGTCACAATGCTCACAATCCTCTATAAGCTCAGTGGCCGTGCATTAAAACCACTGCTCTTTGCAATATCTTTGTTGTTATCCAGATATAGATAAGGGGCTTTGAAACCACAAAGTTATTTTATTACTAAACAATACATGCACCTGCCCAGTAAAAAGGCCTTTTTTCCAGAGATTTTTTTCTGACCTCAAACACGCTTGCTTCTTATGTTAGTATTGTAATTTTACATTTGATGTGGTTTAAATATAATGTAAATACACTTTGCTATAATTAAAAATAGAAACTGAGTAAAAGTTTTAAAAAATTAAAAATACTTTATCAACATTTTGGGACGAATACAAATAAAATAAATATTGTTACAAAATGTACAGGCGTGGTAAGATAGCTTCCCTGCAAAGCAGGTTTAGGGTTGCCAGAAAATGGCAAGGCAAAGGCAGGGTTACCTCATTTCGCGAGAAATTTCCCATCTGACAACAAAATTGGCGATGTGCCATAGACGGATGGAGAACCTTCTAGAACGAATTCTTACCGGTTTAGCCCAGAATGTTCTTGAACACAAGCTAAAAGCTATATAAACCCTGCTGGAACGTGGAGAGTCAGTCAGTTAGTGAGAGTCCATCAAGTTGACAGACAGTCAGTGAGTGCCGAGTTGGTCATGAGTGCACCGAAAGTCTTTTAGTGTATCGTGGTTAGTGCATCATCGAGAGTGTGTTGAGCTCCGAGAACAACTGAATCGAGGAGTCGAGAGCTGTACTCTTGAGTACCGTCGGGTGCATCCCGTTTTGTAGTGTGGAGAGTCTCGAAAGTACTTGGAGATCCGAGAACAACCGAGCGGATTCGGGAGCTGTGCTGTGGTGCTTTGCTGTGCTCTGGTGCTCCACCATGATAGTCTGATAGTGTGAAGACTGTGTCGCTGATCGTGTCAGCGGGTTTATTGTAGTCCTACGATGACTGTGTGGTTAAATAAAGTCTCTTTTGATACTTTATCAAGTGCTGTTGTCATTATTCACACCAAATCTACAAACCCCGTACGAAAGTGAAGGAAGAAAATAACATAACAACTGGTGTCAGAAGTGGGATTTGAAAGTGAATGCCAGTGACACGCCTGCAGAGGGAAGCCATGGCGCAGGAAACCAAGACTTTGATGGACTTCTTAGCCGAGATGAGGGCTGAGATGAAAGCTGGACTTGCTGAAATAAAAGCCGGATATGCTGAGATAAAAGCTGGCTATGAAGAGATGACAGCTAATCTAAAAGCCGGACGAGAAGAGATGAAAGCAGGCCAAGAAAAGGTGCAAGAGCAACTCCAACAGCTGAAAGTGGAGGTTACAAAAGAAACTGGAGCCATGAAAGACTATGTGGAAATGAGAGAAGTAGCATCTGAAGAATCAAAAGATGAAGAAATGAAGGAAGTAACTAATGAACTGTCTGAGAAAGATCCAGAAACAAATGATAAAATATCTAACAAGATTTAAGACAGAGATCGAAAAGATGAAGAAATGAGAGACGGGAAAGAAGATTTTGATTCTCACGTGCCTGAAGTAGAGATAGAAGAAAGTGAAAATGCGATTATCAAGTTCTTAGAAACCGACAGTGAAGTTATGAAAAAGCTGTCAGCAGGTGATGAACCATCTGAAAGTGCATGTGATGCAGAGATTGGGAAAGCTGATGTGCAGCTTAAGCAGTGTGCTCCAGTATTGCAAGAAAATTCACCTACTTTTCAAACTATGCGTGTGTCTCATAGTGCAGGTTTTACAGACAAGGACTTGATTTTAAGCCAGGATACTTATGTTTGTGAAGAATCAGGTTCCATTCATGACTTTGATGCAGAATCTGGAGTTGGTTCTCAAGAAAAGGAGGAAAATGTACATGTACCAGCTGCTGAAAATAACGAGGTGAACTGTATACATGATGTGAGTAAACTTCAGAGTGGTGAACAAAACGTCTCAGATCTTCCTGTGGATGAAAAGTCGGAAAGGACTGATTCTTTGAACTGTGATATGCATATCAGAAAGACATCTGAGAACTGCAGTGGAAAAGTATTTCACCCGGGTATAACTTAATGAAAAGACTGAGACTGAAATTCATTCTGAACTTTAATTTGTATAATTTAAAATTGTGATGTGTTTAATTTTGTATATAACTTGTACATAGTGTAAACATTTGTTTCTTTAGTTATGTTATTTGTTTGTTTTATTATGTTTGTACCGAATTTGGCTTCTGACCAAGGGTTGTACTACCCAGGACATGCAGTCCTTGGAAGCGGCAGTGTTATGAAATGTATAGGCACAGTAAGATGACATCTACGCAAAGCAGGTTTACGGTTGCCAGAAAATGGCAAGGCGAAAGCAGGGTTGCCACATTTGGTGAGAAATCGCACATTTGGTGAGAAATCGCTCATTTGGCAACAAAATTGGTGATATCCCATGGGCAGATGGAGAACCTTCTAGAACAAATTTTTACCGGCTTAGCCTAGAATGTTGTCGAACATAAGCTAAAAGCTATATAAACATTGCTAGTACGTGGAGAGTCAGTCACTCAGACCTTACAAACTGCAGTAACTAATGAAAACACCCATCTGAAGGTTAAACACAGCAAAAAACTTTAAAGTGGACCTAAACCTCCCCCTACTGAAACTAAAGATGCCTTAGAATAGTTACAAGACAACCAACAATCAGAAATTTTCTCGGAAACATTATTTCTCAAATACAGAAAATCAGCAGTGCAAAATCTACGGCAGAGAAGTTAGCCGCAGGATTTAATGCAGCACTCTCACTGATGAAATTTGCAGAAAACTAATAGATGTCTGTTTTTACAACGTAGAAATTTTAATAGACTTTTAAAGATTATTATCACCCATTCTGGATCTTAATGACAAAATGCAGCAGTCAGTACTTGGGAGGGTGACCACCCACATGACTGGCCTCGGAGGATAATCTCTTTCTTCTCACCGCTCGTTGGCTCTTCACCTAAATTGTATTAATTTAATTGATTTTTGCTAATTGTGGATTCTACTCAACCCCTGACTTTGCCATATGCTTCGTGTTTTTCGCCTAAGTGGCGGGGAAATGTACCCATTTACTTTACAACTGCAAGTGCCCTAGGGCAAACTGTAATCATATTGGCAATAGCTCTTTAGTAGCTCAGGCCAGTTAGCAAAGAAATTATCCTAATTCCAGAGACTTAATCAGTCAGTTAGTGAGAGTCCATCGAGTTGATACACAGTCAGTGAGTGCCGAGTTGGTCGTCGAGTGCACCGAGTCTCTTAGTGTATCACGGTTAGTGCATCATCGAGAGTGTGTTGAGCTCTGAGAACGACTGAATCGAGGATTCGGGAGCTGTACTCTGGTATATCGTCGAATGCATTGCGAGTTGTAGCATGGAGAGTCTCGAGAGTACATGGAGTTCCAAGAAGGACCGAGCGGAGTCAATAGCTGTGCTCTGCTTTGCCGTGAAGCTGTCTCCACGGTTATAGCCTGATAGTGCGAAGACTGTGTTGCTGATCGTGTCAGCGTGTTTATTGTAGTTCTTTGATGACTGTGTAAACGTGTTATTGGAGCTGTCCTGATTAATATTGGCTAAATAAAGTGTCTTTCGATACTTTATCAAGTGCTGTTGTCATTATTCACTCCAAATCTACAAACCCCATATGAACGTGAAGGGAGAAAATAACGTAACAATATGAATGGGAAACGATATGATAGATCCATACCAAAGCCAAAAAGACCCAGCTCTACCCCGATTAACATAAAAAACCACAAATTTCATGTACCAGACGAAAAGAGACCAACTAATGCTACACATACACTAGTAAAATGCAAATCCAGGCAGTATACATTTTGTAACACAAGAGAGAAACCTCACAGAACAAGATACATGTGTGAAACATGCAATGCGGGTCTATCCATGTACCAAAAAGACAAAACATGCTTTGAACAATGGCACAAAAAAAATTTATTCTTTGATGTTTAAAAAAAACACTAAGTTTTTTTTTTTTCTTTTTTAACTGAGCATTTTAAGCATTTATCCAAATGTCCTTATTTTGTAGGTTCTTATGTTTTCACTGTTACAGAAAAATTATATAAATGTTTATTTTTAATTTTTTCTGACGATTTACTTTGTAAAATAATGCAAAAAATTTACATATAATAAAATTCTTACATACTTTTTTTTTAATTCGCGAATTTTTTCATTTATCAGAAATGCGCATGGAAAAAGTGAGTTCCCCCCTACTACTTTAGTAAGTTTCAAAAGTCCTAATTTGCTGGTTTCACAGTGCAACCACCACCCACAGATCAATGGGCAAGAGTAGATTTTTTAAAATTTATATACCATTTGTCTCTAGGATCATAATATTCAATTTCTAGAGTTTTTTAGTTAAAAAATTATAAAATAATACTGCCCGCATCACAGCCACTTTCAAAATGGTGGGAAACTAAGAATTCCATACAAGAGAAACCAATCAATAAATTTTAAAAACAAGAAACATCAATAATATAGTATGTTTACAAGAAATCCTTCTTTAATGTGCTGTCATTCTCTCTATGTACACAATGAAGTGATTTTACAAAAAAGAAAAAAAAAAAAAAAAAAAGAGAGAGAGAGAGAACTGCACATATTTGATATCCATACAACTTTGGAATTGCACACTGGACAAAACAGACATTCTGTGTGCATATCTGGGTTGTCACATAAATACTTTTGGCAAATGTGGGTTGCTATATAACTTTTGGCAACATACTGCTTTGCCTCCAGAATATTTTTTCATGACTTTTTGGCTCGGATACAGATAACCAAAAAGCACCTTTTTTTTTAAACAGAATATATATACAATATTTTTTTTTTCCTTTTAGTTAAACTTACATACCATGATTCTTTTCAGACAGAAGAGACCTAGTGGCAGGAATAAACATTTCCATCAATTCAGGAACTTTCTTTATAATGCGAAATGCACAGAGAGCAGCCTAAAATTTACATGATAAAATAAAATAAAATTTATACCAATAATAATAAAAAAACTATTAAGAACACATAAATTAATTATCAAAAGGATGCAGAATTGAAATACAGTTGAACCCCACTATAACAACTTCAAGGGACCACAAGTATGGTTTGCTATTTCCAGTCCTTCAATTCCATAAGAAAAATAGATTACTTCACAAAATCAAGTAAAAATTGAATGAAGAATTGGGAGGGAAAAAACTGGTTAACATTATCACCTCTAGCAAAAGAAGTAAATAATAAACCTAATTTAAAAAAAAATTCATGTTAAGTTCTAAATATGGAACGGGTTCGTTCCATATTTAGAACTTAATGGCGTGCGTACGGGTTCGTTACGAAATGAATGCACAAGTCCGATAAAAAATAAACAAAATTTATTATTATCACAACAAAAATGCTTAAATCTCCTCAGATATTCATGCAGTATTACAATATCTCACAGTAGTTATCTTTTAACTACTCAAATGTCCAATAGAACGTAATTCAAAACAGCTAAAGAAAGCGAATTCGCTACAATCAACAAGAGCAGTTTTCTAAACAACAAACAAACAACTACTAAAAATACTACAAACTGAGATGTTTTCCTCCTTTTATAAGATTTTAAAATCACGCGCTAGAATTTTCCAGTACTTTCTCGAAATCAAAAAGAGATATTTATTTATAAATTTAATGCGCTCTTGTATTTTTAATTTTCCGGCTTAGCTTTCTTTTAATATTCGTCACGCGCTGCACTGCACTGCGAGAGAAATAAAACCATTTAATTTATAATTGAACTAACATTAGCTTTTTAAATACCAAATTCGTAACACTGCCCCCTTCCCAAGGACTGCACGTCCCGGGCAGTACAATCCCTGGACAGGAAGCTAAACTTACAACTGTGGCATAAATGCAATAATAAAAATTACATTACTATAACAAACAACATGAACAATAAATGCACTAACTAAAACAAATCAAATGCTATCACATACTAAATACAAATCAAATAAAATACACTTTTAGAAATAAAAAGGACCATGGTCTTACACTATTTACAATTATTTACACTATACACTAAGGCCATAGTAATGCGCTGACCTGTCGTAATGAACGACTTTAGGTTTAGAGTTCGAAGACTCACGGATCCGAACCACGACATCATTCAGCCTGTTTAGGATTGTGTGCGGACCATACCAAGGTGACTGTAATTCAGGCCTGACTCCTTTTTGTTGAATCGGGTTCCACAACCACAAATTGTCTCCTTTGTTGAATATATGTCCAGTAGCTCTCGTGTTGTATCTGGTCTTCAAAGTTCACTCGCTTTCGTGCGGTCAGGAAGGCCTCAGGCGACGAAAGGCGGTCTCGACCGAAGAGCATCTGAGATGGAGAATAGCTGGTAGTCTGGTGTTTCTCTTCTGACCCTAGTATGATTTCGGCAGCTTTCCGAGCTGGGTTCTTTCGGACAAGCGTCGGCATTTCCAGGCGAGGATCCCTTCTTGAGATGGATAGTCATGTCCTCAGATGCTGAAAGCAGTTTGTTGTTTTTCAAGTCTAAGGAAAAATTTATATTTCCTTAAAAAGTCCAATCCGAGTATGCATGGATCTGTAATATCCGCCACATATGCCGTGTGATGGTAGGCGGCACTTCCAAACGTGATGTTTACGTTTAACTTCCCAGTTATGTCGATCTTATCACCAGACGCAGTCTGAAGGGTAACACAGGATGGCGTCCAAATAAGTTTATCTTTAAACTGTTCAGCTAAATCTTTCCTAATGATGGTAACATTAGCTCCTGTGTCAATGATCATATTGCAAGGAACTCCATCGATATTCCCATTTATGGAAAGTCCGTTACTGTTGCCACTCACTGTATAAATTTTAAGCGCTTTAAAACAAGGTTTTTCATTATCTGGCAACCTCCGTTCCTCGATATCACTTGTTTACTGCGTCGTTGCTGGGAAATGGTCTCAATTTCTGTGCTCCAGGGTGTTCTGCAGTTCCTCCGCATGTGGTTTTCAGCTCCACAGTTCCAGCAATTTAGAACTGGTTTCTTTTCATTTCTGTTCAGTCTCAAGCCACTGACTTGTCTGGTAAAATCATTTGTTTTATTTTCCGGAGTGTTATGTAATTCCGCCTAGGTGACTTTCAGAACCACATCTCTAACACCTTAGAGCCAGTCCTTTCTCACTCCTACTCCGTATCATTGCGTCGACTTGTTTGGGGATAAATCATCTAAACGAGCCATCGATCCACTGGCTTGTGGACTCGCACAGCTCTGATTGGGTAGCGACCTCTACAAGTTGCTTGCTGAGCTGCCTCGAATTTCACAGCGTACAAGAGCGCTTTTTATGTCCTTCACATCCGCCATTCACAGAGCTTTCTGTATTTCAGGGTCCCGGATGCCATCGATGAAATATTGCAGCGAAAGGATTTCTCGTTTCGGTTGGGCACTCCAAAAAGGTGAGATGGGAGAGAGTCTTTCAACATCAATGGGGACCTCCTGAAGTGTTTCGGTGGGCTTCCGCTGACAGGATTTTAATTGGAACTTGCTGTAGACTTTCAAACACTTCTCCCCAAAGTGCAGCTCCAACGTGCCGAACAGAGCTTCAAAATGTAACCTTTTGTTTTCGGGAAGAGTCTGAAGGATATCTGCTGTGTCTGCTCTCAAAGAAGTGGCGAGATGACAGGCCTTAGCTTGGGAATCCCATCTATTTGCAGCCGCCACGATAAAAAACCGTGTCTTATATACTTGCCAAGAGGTCTTCCATCATACGTCGATAGCTTCAGAAAGGGACGAGAAGGCATGGGTAGAAATTTTAAACCATACGAATTGCTCCCTGCCCTTGCTACAAATTTCTTTAAAGTATCCACTTCTTTGGCAAAAGCGGTCATCCATTTGTTCTCCGATTTGTTTTTGAACGGAACAAACTCTTCCTTCTATTTCTTCTTTGACAGAAGAAACTATTTCCTCAATTTATCCCACTTTATTTTCAACCACATCTATTCTGCCTTCCATAGCATCGAATTTGGTTTCTATTATGCAGGCAATTTCTCTTTTCATTTCGTATTGACTTTCTTCAATCTTTACTTGTACAGCTTTTATTTCTTCTTTAACGGATTCCTTAACAACTTTTATTTCCTCTTTAAAAGTTAACTGACCAGCTTGAATGGCCTCCATCTCTTCCTTAACAGATTTTTGACTAGCATCCATTTCTCTTTTAACCCCTTTGCACCGACCGTCACGTATACGTGCCAGCAACGAACACACTTATCTACCGTCCGAAACCCAGGCGTGCCAGAGCATTGTTGCATTCTCTACCGACTGTCACGTATTAATGCCAGTACCTTGGAACGTTTTTCAAACTATAATTTCTGCCACAAGATGGCACTGTATGTCCATGTGGTTTCAGATACATGTGCATTAGACCTTCTACTTGAAATGAGAGAAGCATGACTCACATACACGTGTTTTTGATTATATACACAAACGGGGAACTAAATGTTTCTGAATGGCGTGATTTATGACGTCTCTTTAAATCGCACTTTATTCGCACGTGGTAGTTGTTTATTGTAAGTAGAAGTTTTATATGCGCTAAAGCGTTGAGTATTTCCGTTTACAGTTCAGTTTTTAGAAAATAATTAGATTTTGTTAGACATGAATTCTTTCTGTTTTTACCATTTCAATGTCGAAGCGTCGAAAATGTTTAACAGAGCATGAAATAGCAGACATGATGCAAAATATTTCAGATGTTGATTCTGAAATTCTGATATTGATTCTGAAAGATTAACTGAAAGACATTTTCCAAAACTTTTTTCAGAAGAGACTGATAAGAAAATGAGACGACGATGCTTCGTTTGTTCACATTCCCGGAAAAATCCTCCAAAACGGCAAATGAGTTACTACGAGTGCAAGGAATGTAACGTACGACTGTGTGTAGATCCCTGTTTTAAAATTTTTCATACGAAAAGAGAATTTTAAGTAATATATTTAGTTTACAGATTATAATATTAAAAGTCATAAAATGGTGAGTAATTAAAATAAAATGTGTAAAATATGCATTTAAACAAGAAATAAGGTAATTAAAGTATATACATAAAAATATCTATAAAGAATAAGCCATTTAAATACTCTATAGAGCATTATTAAACAATGTGTTGATACTTCGGAAATTTCATGGATTTAGGCTTAGTAGCAAAAAAGCCCCCGGCCCTGGAGAGATGCTCGCGGAAGACACTGCCGGGTCTCCGCGATAAGCGCGCGTTTTCACTACCCGGCTCGAAGGGGTTAACGGCTTCCTGTCCCGTTTTAATTTCTTCTTTAAAGGATGCTTGGCTAGCTTCCATGTTTTCTTGGAATGCAGCAAAAGCACTGATGAGCTGCCTCAATTGTTCTTCCATCGCTCTTGCTATCGGCATTCAAATCCCAATTCTGACACCAGAAATTGTTGCATGCGTATGAAATGAATACACAAGTCCGATGAAAAATGAACAAAATTTATTTTTATCACAACAAAAATGCTTAAATCTCCTCAGATATTCGTGCAGTATTACAGTATCTCACAGTGTTATCTTTTAACTACTCAAACATTCAAGAGAACTTAATTCAAAACAGCTAAAGAAAGCTAATCCGCAAATTCACTACAGTCAACAAGAGCAGTTTTCTAAACAAACTCTTAAAACAACAACAAACTAACTAAAATCACAACGAACTGAGAGGTTTTCTTCCTTTTATAAGATTTTAAATCGCACGCAAGAATTTTCTGGAACTTTCTCGAAATCAAAATGAGATATTTATGTATTAAATGTTAAATGCACGTGCTCTTGTTAATTTTCCGGCTAAGGTTTCCTTTAATATTCATCACACGCTGCGCTGCACAATTTAATTTATAATTCAACTAACATTAGCTATTCAAATACCAAATCCGTAACACTATAATTATTACGGAAATACTACATTACATGTTAATAATTTTGCATCATAAATTATAGTATAGCATTAAATATGATAATTCTCTCTTTTCGAGGAATAATATCTTGCAAATTCTTTCTCTCCAATTATATATTTATAACTCTATACAATTATGTTATACCATAAAAATATAAAAACAGTGTTTATGATCTATATGAAAACAAATAACAAAATATATTTTAAGATATGTGTCGGATGCAAAGCAAAGATTAACTTTTGTAAATAATACTGAAATGCCATTTGGAGGACAGAACTCGGATAGCATTTATCCTTAAACCAATAAGGATAAAAAATTTCATTTCATGAAAGAGGAATCAACTGTTAATTCAAACGTATAAGATTCACTATCTCCTCTTTTTTAGAATAGTGAAACTTTCAAAATTTCCATCCTAGCATCACCTTTGAATGGAGCCCAGTCTGACAACTCGACCAAAGAATTTAAATGGAATCACAGAGCCTACTTATGATTTTTGGTTCAATAGTCACATATATGCAATAAACACCATACAGTGTCCTTAAGATATGCTTATAGTGACCTTTATCTCCTAGATTGAGAATCACACCTTTTTCACACAGCCTTTCCGTAAAACACTAAGAAATAATAGAAAAGTACTTTTGTCTACAGATGGAATATGGATCATAACATTTTAAAGCTGGATGATTTCAAAAATTAGTGAATTTTTGTTAAAATTTGCAGAATTCTGAAAAAATACATAGTAGTGTAAGTCAAAGATAACCGTAACTAGTTTATTGTATCTGATTTTCATACCTTTGGAGGTTTGCAACAGCTGTACAAAATAATATTTATTGTAAACATATATTGTAATACAAATTTTTAATATTATTTGATACAAATTTGTTTTACAAAGATAAGATGTTGAGTATATAAAAATTAATATTTTGATTGACAATTATATTTTATAATGAATGAGATCCTTAGAGTTTTCTATACATTAAGATGCTAACACTTTCTGAATATCAGTTCAAGTTTCAACATCCACATTATGTATTTGTGAAGTTAAGATTACAAATTTTCTAATAGCATAACTTTACAATGCCAATGAACAACTTCCATGTATATGGTCTATGAATTGTTTAGTTTAAGAGATGCATATTAAAAATCCATACATTCTTGCTCATATGATATATGAAAGTAATTCAATAAAGAAAAATAAAAAAAAGGTTACAAGCCCACCTACTTTTTTTCGTACATATGCATTGGATGTTTTCAAAAGTTTTTCAACTTCTCCAGCTAAATCTCTGCTCATTTCAGGAGAGCATATAACCCCAAGTGCACAAAGAGCTAAGCCTATTACAAACTGGGTCTGGCTATTCAAATCACTATAAAGTAAATATATATTACCTTTCTATTTATTTTGTTTTAATTATGCATAAAACAGTATCAATTCATTCAATAAAAGCACAGCTCATACAAAGAATGCTGTTATGAAATATTAAGAGCTCTAAATACAATTAATCCATATAAGAATAGCCTAGCATACTAAAATGCAGTTTTCTGAAAAGATTTACTCCAATAATTTTTAAATATTTAATAAACATTTAATTTTATTACTTAGTAAAAAGTGAGAATAAACACAACAATTTTGTACAAGAATTATGTCAAAATTATTGAAAATGAAGTATTAATATCTCCATAAACAAGGGAAAAAGGGGAACCACTATTCCAAATAAACTAAATATGGAAACTGCAGCATTCAGGCAATTAAGCAATTTATAAATTTAAAAAATTGTCTGCAAATAGAATTTCATACCATGTGATTGTGTGTACACAATTAAACATATGTATTACATATATGATAACGAAGATAAACTTTAACAGAATTAGCAGAATAAAAAAAATAAACAGACAATATAAATTAAAAGTTAAAAATGCATCCTTTATAAAATTTCCTCGCACTTTCATATTGCATTTTAGATCCAATAGTCTGAAAACATATTTATTAAGCCTAATTGGATATAAAGTACATATGAACTTAAGAATACAAAGTATCTGCTTCATGGTGCCACAATAAATATCATGATTAGAAAGTATAAATTACACATAGCACATCAAACTAGCAAGTATAAATTACACATTAAATTATTTCTGCAACCACTAAATGTCTTACATACAGTTATAAGGAATTTCAGCCTTTTTCACACTCATGGTGTAAGTGGCTGTAGATCTGGCCAGCAACTAAAAGATGAGAGAAAGCTGTTTCTTCGTGTTTCTCCATTTAGAAAAGACTGAAGTTTTTTACAGTATGCATTCTGCATTAATTCAGAATCAAATAAACAAGATTTATATGCTAAACAAAAATCGCAGACTGACTATATTTTGCACTTTTTCTTATGGCTAATTAATTTTAAGTATGTACACCCAAGTGCAGTTACATTTTTTTAAATTCATCAAAAACACAATTCACTGAGTTAATTTTTAATCATAGGAAATACGGATGAACAAACCTGTAATACAATGAAACAAACTTATAAGACAAAACATACTTCATAACTTTCTTCTGAATCTCACAAGAGCTGAAACCTTGAAATCACATATATTCTACAAATTTTGTACAGTGACAGGAGACCTTAAAACTCCTTTTGAAGAGGCTTAGTATGCCTCTCTCAAATAAGGAGGGGGATTCAAGCTTAAATTTTTATTAAAATATACGGTACTATTCGGTTTTGAGGGCCGTAAAAAATCGCCAAACTATTTTTGATGCTGGTGCTGCCAAAAATAATTTCGGCAAGAAAGGAAGTATAATAGTAAACAATTATCTAAGATCGATGTTTTAATTTAGATGAAAGGTTAATTTCATATAACACTTTTTTATTATTATAATTTATATCAAAAGGATAAACATTACTGAATGGAAGCATAAGTGTAAATAACTATTTCAGATCATTATTATAATTTATATTAAAATTGCTGAACATTATTGAATGGATGCCTTTTTCACTACCCAGTTATCGCTAAAGCATAATTTTATCTTGTTAGTTGTTCAAACATAATTTTCTATAATGAATAATGCCTTTTCTTTGAAAAAATTCTCAGTAAAGTGCAGTATCGCCCACTTATTTGTTTGCCGCTTTTTAGAAGGGTAAAAGCGATTGGATCTTTGTCAATTTTCTTTTACTTTTTAAGTGAAAATAGGTCGATGTGTACATAGATAAAGTCCAGGATGTGTGCAGAGCCATTTTTGTGCATTTCTGGGATTTTTTTAAGTGAAAATAGGTCGATGTGTACATGGATATCGAGTATGTGCAATTCTTAAAAACACATCAAGCAGTCAATGATTCTGTACTTTACCCAAAATTCTATTGCAGACTTTTCATCATGGGCAATTCCCCAAATTGTTAAATCCATAATAGGATATCAAAAAAGGATTTAAAAATTAAACTAGTATTTCAATGGCGTCTTAAAAAATATAGAACTACATAAACTTACGCAATCTGAAATCCGCACGTACGCTAGATTTGGCATGCTGTTTAAATGGGCGCAATTGCTAGATTTGGCGCTTTTGCGGATACATTTTCACTGCAATTTTTTTACGGTTCTCAAAACGGAATAGTACCAAATATACATTTGAATTTTTCAACTCATTGAGACCTCTTAATGCGCAATGGAAGTGAGGATGCAGCAAAAGAAAGAGTTTATACTGTGGCACCTACACTGTGTGAAAATTTATTATGAAAAATATTTTAAGGGATCAATAAAAAGATGAACTTGCCAATTTTTTTAATTTTTGCCATTATTTTGCATCTATTCCTGCAGCAAATTTTTTTATTAAATCTCCATTTTTTTAAAAACTTAAAACTAGAAAATGCTGCATTAGAATAAAGCTCTACGGTTTATTCTAGCGAGATGAGTGAACTGATGAAAAAGGTCTTTCAATTTCAAATGTTAAACAAACAGTGCTTACAAACAGATTTTAAGCACAGAACTCATAAAAAATTAAATAAAAAAATATTTTTAAAAAAAATTACCACTGCCTACGCATTTCTTGTAATGATGTCTATCATTTGGAACGCTTGTACAACTTAGAGAAGCTTTTTGGAAACCAACCACTGAAATACTCTTGATTCACTAGTTTTCCTTAATTTCTGAAATGCTGAAAATTTGAAGCTTTCTCTTTAAGGAATAGAGAAACTGCAAGCTGCCAAATCTGGAATTAAATGACACCCATACTTATACATTAACTTCAGTTCACAATTCTGACAAAGATCCATACATAGAGGTCTTCAGATCTTCCTTTTATTTTGGAACAGCAACCTTCTCCACTACAATCATTCCCATCTATGATACTTTTATCTCTTATAGCAAGTTCGTTTTATAAAGTTTCATGGGTGTTAACTCCTTGTGCTAACATTACATACATTATACGGCTGCTGTAAAATATGATCAGTTTCATACAAACTAATTTCGAACTCATTCTGACTATATGACTATCTCAACAACACATTTCCTTCAAGGATGTGAAACTTCATTGTGTAGAAATTGCAAATCTCAACTCTTGAACTAATCCATGATTCTGAAAAAAAGTAAACAACTTTTCTTCCATTATTATTAGTATATTTGATATTGTATAATTTTTTATCTATCAGCGTCTTCCTCTAACTCTTTCAAACATAAGTGGCACATGCCATGTAATTTTTACCTCTCAATTTTCAAGAGATAAACTTAGAAGGATGATAAGAGTAAATACAGTACATACAATGTGCAGAACATCAGATACTTACACAATACATAATGAAATACATCAGTACTGAAACCAGTTACAATAAAATGAAAAAATAGGTAATTGCATTTCAAATACACTAAGAATGATGATAAAGCTATCAAAACTAATTTTATTAAGCTATAAAATACTCACTTCTTTAAAGAATTGGTTATTAGAAGATGAACATCTTGCCGTTCATCAAGGAGGAGCATTGATCCAAGATACCCAATCCTCTTATCAGTAAACCTCGGTGATGCAATTAATTTCAAACATTCCAGCTGTAAATTCCACAGTCAATTAGGACTTGTTATTAATACATTTTGTAATTCCAGAAGACAAATTTCATTAAAGAGCATTTTAGTACATTGATAACTTACCAGAACTGCATTTCTTAACTTTTGATTGTAAAATGCTAAAAAAGGTACACAGCGAACTGATGTTATATAACAAGAGGGGGGAAATGTATGATTAAAGCTTTATAATTAAAAAAGGGAAACTAAATGTTAAAACTGACAAAAACTAAAATGCTCATTCTACGCATTATATGGAATTATCTACAATGGCAGGTAATATAAAAGTAGAGAGAGCAATTAAGTGGTTTTAAATACATTATTTTTAAATGAATGAAAGATTAACTTGATGGAATTCCTTTATTCAACGAACACAATATAACGAATATTTACCTGTCCAAAATGAGCTTGATAACCAAGCATGTGTATATACAGCAGTTTAGCAACATTGCGACAACGCCATGTGTTATCTTCTTCTCTAAACAAAGACCGTATATATGCACATTCTTTCTGTACTACAGCCCTTTCATCAGCCGCAGTTCGAGCAGCCCGAATCTGCCGAATCAGGTCTCTAAGCCTCATAGGGGTAGGCATGTTGGCATAGGCATTCAATCTATAAAGTGTTATCATGAAAATTACTAAACTGAATCAGTTTTAACATTAACACAGTAAATTATTAAAAATTTTGCCTTTTTACAGAAAATTACATTAGCAATACTAAAAAATACTTCATACACTAAAAAAACTATGCATTAACAAAATTTCATGTTAAATAATATTGCATTAATTCTATATAATTTTATAATTTTACCCTGTTATTCAAAAGTGATATGCATCAAATTTAACAATTTTTAGAGAAATTCCTTTCAATGGATGACAACCCTATGCTGTTATAAATAATATATCACTTAAAATTTCAATTGCAATTCATGTTGTTAGTTTTAAAAAAGCATTTGTTTGGTCCAAGATCACATCAAATTACAGAACAGGGACATCATCCATAGAAACAATTTACCATTAATATCGATTTAGGAATTGTTCTTTTTTAAAAAAAGTTAGATATGCATGACTTTTGAATCACCTAATCACTTTTGAATCACATGCAAATCATTACTTAATATGTGCTAAAAATTTATTAATTAAGAGTAAATGATTAAAATTTACTTCTTGAAACTTTTACATACCTTGCTCTAAACAAACTTAACATTTTTCTGCATAATTAATTTTCAAATTCTATGTTATAAAGAAATGTGTAATAGATAACATGCAAAGTGTTAGACATCTCAAAATAAATAATCCACAACAGATATCTCTCACGAGCCAAACATTCATGCATGATTTCCCTTAGCAAGGCCATACTTGCCAACCTACGACACTAAAAAATCGGGAGAATTTTTTTAGAAAACAGGAGATTTATTTTCAACAAAACGATTTTTAAATGCTAAAAATATATTTTTTAATAATGAATTACCTATCATCAGCCTATCAAATGGTTCAGGCTGCATTATCCACACAAAACAGATACTACAGTGAATGCTACACAATAAAAATACGTCATGGCTAAATTTTAACAGAGTTATGTTTCGTTGTGACAAGGATATAATTTTTCAACATAATGTAATTAATGCCTTATCATTCAAATATATCAACAAGTATGTGCACACTCTTTTCTTAAATTATGCAAATGTTAAATGTGTATATTCTTTTTTAAATTACTAAGCATTTAAACACACACATAAAGTAGGTAAAACAGGAATATATTTAATTTTTAAAAAAAAGTTCTATATGAAACATTAAATAGAGGGTGATTAACAATTTGGTAAAATATATTTACAGGTACCCCCTTGGCCAAAATTGCCGGTACCGAGTTTGTGCAATTCTTCGACTTGTTATTTTGGCTAATGTAGCGCCACTACATAAAGCGAAAATAACAAGACAAAGAATTGCACAAACTTGGTATCCATGTACACATCAACCTATTTTCACTTAAAAAAACATCAGAGAATTGCACAAACTAAGCATTGTGCACTTCCTTGATTGTACAAGTCCATATACACATCAAACTATATTCACTTAAAAAGTCAAAGGAGCAGCCAACAAAAAAAATATATAATCTCAATACACTACATTTTAAATCAAACAATGAAATAACATAAAAAAGGAAATTCATCTTTCAACTACACAAAGGAAATATCCACTTACTTTATTTATGAATTAACATGTTGTTCGGTATAATATAGCGCCCTCTAGGATCAGTGCCCCTCTTGTGAGAGGAGCCAAATTTAGTTGAGTTGGTTGTTGAAGAAGGTACGCAGCGGACCTATGGTGCGTTCGTTCATTCCACTTTGTCTGTGCTGATGGAGCACTTAACTTGTAACCTTGTACATTATGTAAATAATTAAATGTTTGTGTGGCCTAACTTAGTTAGTTTTATTTTGGAACCAGCGCCATTATCTCTCGTAACTCATCGCATTTTATATCAAACACATGTCTTCAGTCAAACAAAATTCCTTAACAGCATCCAAAAACCATCTAAAATTTTCTGAACTAGAATCTGTATACTGGCATCGCCACATAAATTCACAAAATAAGAGTAAAAAATATTCTCTGTAGTGTCGTTCGACCATACGCATTTCCTTCCTACAAACAGGACACTTAATAATGGCTACTAAGTAAACCTTCATTTACACACCAGTGAAGTAATGCTTTTTTCCCCTTTCTTTCCAAATCGTATGGAAACTTCAAATTAAACTTATTACATTTAGCCATCTTACCATCTAAACCACAAAACAAGCAATATTCTTCCTAACCAACACACATACAAGCCCTTACGGATTTATCGCAATCATGTAACCGATTACGTCACAATAGGGTTTCCATAACATTCAACTACTCAGGCTACCATAAATGAAACAACAACTTAGCAATAAATGAAACTACTTTGTGATAATACAAGGCATACCCTTCTATCTACTCTAACCAAGAGTTTTTATTTGACTCTCCAGTTAACTACAGAATCAAAATATAAACTGTTGATCACCCTCTTTTTGTTACATTGTTTCTAACTTTAATTGCTTTCTAGGGAAAGATACATTTTTTAGCTTTAACTTTTCACTACCAATTTAAATGAGACAACATTAATGCCCTACACAATTTTTCCTAAGATATAATCTTTTTAATTTTTTTTATTGTAATGAGTGCTCTTTCTCTCTCTCTCTCTCAATATATATATATGTAAAATTATAGATAAAAAGCAGTAAATTTAGAACCAAAACTACAAAGAAATAAAAGAAATGAAAAATAAAACCAGTACAATCCCCTAAATCTCCCAATAAAAATATAAAAAGACAATATCAACTCAGTGTTTTTAAACCGGAAGAAGCCCCTTAAAACAATAGAAATACAAAAATACAAATATATGTAAAATATAACAAAATACGATGGCTGCACTAAGAAATGATTGCCGACCTCAAAATTAACTATTCTAAACTTGGCATTCTGCCCCTTAAGTTCATCTGTTCTCCTAAATTCGAGATCTTTCCATGTTGATAACAATCTAAAATTAGCCAATAGTAGTTTAGTTGTACTTACGCACCTACTTAATATAAATACTGCTAACACACAACTACGTCATTCCTTTTCGTAACTTCTTCCCTGCTAACATCTCCACGCTGCTTTACTTTCGCATCTAAGATGCTTACGTTGTACTTTTAAAACCAGTGTACATAAATATTATCGTATTTAAATATAATTGGATAAATACCTTGTCTACAAAGATGATCTGATGTGAATTATCATGGAATAAAATTATGTTTTGAAATGGCCACGTCTGGAAGTTTTGGTTTATACATCCATCTAACTAACTATGCAGACTTCAAGCTGCAGCGCATCAAAATATCCACCCTCCGCCATGCCGACAGTGTGCTGCTAAATGTAACAGTGTAGTCTATGCACTTAAAATATCACATACATATATCTATGCACATAATAATTATAATATTAATAAAAAGGAAGAGGAATACAATCAAAATCCGATTCAATGTTATCAAGAAGAGGTCGATCAGATTCCAATCGAGTCAAATTCCTAAGGAAACCCGTGTTTACTGATTTGGGATATTTTTGTTGTAAAAAATTTCTGTAACACTATACATATATATACACGATGTTTCAGCATATCAGTTTCAAACTTTCAGGAGAGACAGAATACACCTACACGATGGAAAAACACATAGCAAGCATGGTCGGAAATTTTTTTTGGCGTGGTAGTGATAACACAAAAAATAAGAAAGGAAAGACATGAACAGGGCAAGAATATATGTTTATTATGTGTAGTGCAGGCAGCAGAAACCAAGAAATACGAACAAAACCAAATCATTGTCATCAAAGAAGGTGTTCAAAATTATGTTCAAAGCATATTCTCAACATGGGACAGGCAGGGGTAGTCAGTGCATTGACCAGGAAGATTGTCAGACCTCACTTGCATTGACTACTTCATCTGGGGGTACTTCAAGACATTGGTGTACGAAATCCCATTAGAAGCGTTGAGGAACTTATTGCATGCATCAAGACAGTTGCTGGCAAAGTGCGGGACATACCCAGTATTTTCCAAAACACCAGATCTTCCATGTGCCAGAGATGTGAGGCCTGCAACAGGGTTCAGGGTCGTAATTTTGAACACTTCTTTGATGACAATCATCAATTTTTGTTCTTGTTTCTTGATTTCTACTATATTAAGCATGCTTCTTCACTATGTTCATGTTCTTCCTTTCTTGTATTTTGTATTGTCACTACTGCATCAGAAAAGCCTTTTTGACCATGCATTGCTATGTGACTTTCCATCATCTAGGTGTACTCTCTCTTTCTCCTAAAGTTTGTAACCGATTTGCTGAAAGACTCTGCACATACTAGACATCAAAATTAAAGGATGACAGAAATAAAATGCAACTAAGAGTTAATCAAAAATTATTAACAGAATTTTGTACAAAAGCATTTGTTGGAACAAAAATCTCTGTAAACAAATGTACTCCAAACAAAAGTAGTTTTTGTTTGCTCCACACCATCCAAAACCAAAAAGGAATAACACTTTAAAAAAAAAAAAAAAAAAAAAAAAAAAAAAAAAAAAAAAAAAAAAAAAAAAAAAAAAAAAAAAAAAAAAAAAAAAAAAAAAAAAAAAAAAAAAAAAAAAAAAAAAAAAAAAAAAAAAAAAAAAAACAAAAAACAGATGTCTACCACACATATGCAGTTTCAAAATATAACATACTTCACTAATAAAAACTTCTTTCACTTATTCACAGTATAGGACAATCCAGAAAAAATAACATTCAGTGAGAACTTACCTGGGATCTGTGGAGACGGCTCTAAGGAAGAAAAAACAACGAACAAGCTTGCTTTATTTTTTAACACTTAATTCCAACACAGTACAATTATGTACTTCAACAAAATTACAGTTATCATCTTCTTGCAGGACTTTTGATCTGTCCCTTAAAAATGTAGACACATTGGCTCTGTTGACAAAAAAAAAAAAAAAAAAAAAAAAAAGGAAAAAGGGAATCACTCCTTCCCCCCCCTTTTTTTTTCTAAGACAGCCAATGCCATCTATAAGCTTTTACTCAA